GGTTTTCCTACAGGCACCCCCAGAGCCTGTTCAGAGCATGAGCACAGAGTGGACAGGCTGTAGGTGACCCAGCCGGGGGTGCTGAGCCCCCCGGGCTGCCCCCACCATGCCCTGCATCCCCGCCTTGGGATGAGGCATCACCTGTGCAGTTGGGCATCCCTGCACCAAGCACACCCTTGCCTGCCCCTGCCCCACACAGGGGGCAAAGCAGTGGGGCAAGCCTGGCCCCAGATGCCACCTTCAGCCAACACAGCTCCTGGCCGGCACAGGAATAAAGCCAGCGCTTAAATCCCAGGCACTGCTGAAAAGTGAGGCCAGCGATGATCCCTGGTTATTTGCTTCTCTTGTCCTTGGCAGGGGGGCAAGGGGGGACAGGCCCCAATGCTGCTGTCCTTCCACACACACAAGGACCCCAGCCCTGCCTGGCTCCTTCTCCTATGTGCCATGGCCCGGGGACCTGGCGTGTCCCTGTCCCCATGGGCTTACCATGGCCTCTGGGTGGCTGGATTCATCCGAGCATCACTGCAGCATCTGCCACTCACAAGGTGGGGAGAGGCCACATCTCCGGATGGAGATCACCCAGCTAGAGGTGAAATCTAACCACAGATTACCTGAGCAGGTAAAGCTCTAGCTGTGGTGCAACACAACCCAGCGCCTGGAAGCCATGGGCAGCGCAATGCAGCGCAGCACAATTCAGCGCAGCTAAACAAGATGGAGCTCAAACCTGGCAGGTAATTAAACTTCCTGCTTAATGAGACTGTTGAATGTGCTAATAAATAGTAGCAGCTATGAATGAGGGATGGAAGATCTAACCTGTGCTTAACAAGGAGCTGTGCTCAGTCACACCTCAATTCAATCAGTGTGGCCCCTGGCTGCGCCTGGGGCTCGTGGCTCCGGTTGCTGGGAGCAGATTTTTGGGGAAAAGGGTGGTCGCAGCCCTGCATGGCCTGGCACTGGCATAAATCACATTCCCAGCTCCCCGCCTGTGCTGGCCAGTTATCCCTCCTTTCTCCTCACCTGCCCCGAACCCAGTGAAGCTCCTGAAATTGGGCTTTGAAGGTGCAGCGAGCCTCAAGCACCAAAGCGCCCTCCTCCCTCCCTGGCAGGTTGCTCCCTATCAGCATTTCCCCCCCCTGGGGGGAAATGGTCCCATTGAAGCCAGGAGTCTGTGAATGCTCCCAGCAGACCCACAGCTATGGCATCCCTCCAGAGGTCTGTCATCAGGATGTGCCCCTGATGGCAAAGCTGTCACAGCTGGTCCGGGGTGCCCACTGCTCCTCGTCCCACTGACCCCCCCCCCGGCCCCGGGCTCAGTCCCGGGA